TCTTTTCGACCTAATCATAAAATATTCTAATTGTATGTGATTTATGGAATGAAATCACAGATATATATATATATATATATATATATATATATATATATATATATATATATATATATCTGAATTATTGTTATAAATTTTAATCTTAATAATTATGGAAATTAAAAAAAAAAATTTATCTTCTATAATGTAACAATAATTATGTTAAAGTGAAAAATTTTCAGTGTTACTTTATCACTATCGTTCGACGAATTGTATATCAATCGCACGTAAAGATTGCTGTGAAACATTTTTTTATCATTTTTTATTTTTTTTCCTTTTCACTTTTTCTTTTTTTTAGCTTTCGTTTATTTTTAGAAAGAAATTAATATTTCACAACTACAAAATGCTTAATAAATGCAACTATTTTACTTACGGATCTTTTTTTTTTATCCTTTGATTTTTTATGTTTATTTTTGGATTTTGAAGAAGCAAGAGTAGATGCATCGTTTTTAGATAAATGACTAAGTTCGGTGCTCGGCTGAACATTATCTTTGTTATTTAATCAATGCATTTGCTATTTTTAGGAGTGATGAAAAAATTATTAGATTGTTGGGTAGATGGGTCTGTAAACAAAAAATCAAAGATAAGTAATAACGATAAATCTAGATTGTCGTGGTTATTAATGAAGATTAAAGTACCTTCTGAATTTCAAAGAAGTACGCGTTCGCTGACTGATTTCCATAAATTTAAAGCAACAGACTTTCAGTTTTTGTTATTGTATGCTGGACCTGTTGTGTTTACAAAAATTTTACCTACAACTAATTATAAGCACATCTTACAGCATCTTGCTTTTTGCATGTTGCATGTAGAATATTGTTTTCTAATGATATAGCTCTAAAAAAAGTAAAACATGCAAAATTTTATTTGAAGAACTATGTTAGTATTGCTTCTTTATTATACCCTCTTCAATTTATTGTTGGAAACATTCACAGCCTTTACCACCTTGCCGACGACGTAGAATTCATGCAATGTTGCTTATCATTATTATTGAGTTATGCGTTTGAAAACTTATCGGGAAAAATTAAAAGACTTTTAAGGACGGGTAATAATCCACTTGCCCAGCTATGCCGTCGATTCAACGAAATGGATTCGAATTTCTGTCCAAGGCCAACATTATCAAATCCGATAGAAATATTGAAAGAATACCAGGATATTGATATGAATGAATTAATTATTAAAAGGATAAAATTTAAAAACGTATTGCTGACTACAAAGTTACCAGATAATACTGTGTTATTGAAAAATAATGAAATTTTGCAAATTCACAGAATTTATCGAGTTTCTGCAGATGATATCAACAATGTAAAGATTGACGGAAAAATTTTGAAAAAAAAAGGCGCTTTTTAGTTATCCATGTGACTCAAGTGAATTACAGATGTGGGATGTGAGTGCAAACAATCCGATAATCGGCAAGTATAAAATTACTGACATTTTGAAAAAAATGGTATGCATTGATTTGAGTGATGAGAGTAAAGAAAAGTTATGTGTAATGCCCTTGCTGCATATGTAAATAGTGCTTAATAACGTGGTAGTGATTTTGTTTTATTTATTAACATAATTTTATTTATTAACCTCGATAAATTTTCATATGCTTCTTTAAATTTTCGGACTTTTCATCTAAAAATTTGACACCTGTAGTTTGTCAAATTTCTCATTCTCGTGTCTTTTTTTATTTTTAAAAAATTTTTTTGTAAAAAAAAAAATGCAAAGAAATAAATGAAAATTAATTCAGCATATATTTAATAACTTTATAACAAATAAATTATGATGAAAGAAAAATTAAAAAAACATATTGACAAAAATTTTACAAAAAAAAAATGCAATTTTTAAAAATAACTTTTTCGTTGAGTAAAATAAAAAAAAATTTTAAGTGACTGCTAACCTTAATGTCATAAAGAATAATGAATTTTTAACAGTTATTTTAAAAAATTATTAGCAAACGTGACATATTTTGTGTTCAGAAATTAAAAAAAAAAAATCTACGAGTGATGAGTACAGCCGAGCATCCACCTAAAGCGCATACATACATATACGCATATAATACACTTATACGCGTAACAATAACTCCATACAGTCAAGCTGTGGCTCCACTGCTACGTTGTAGTTCTATACTAACGCCATGTTTATCATTTCACTTGCATACAACTAGAGTCAGCAGCCAGTTTCATGTGTGTGGTAGTGCGTTTATGTAAAGTGCGCGTCAGTAACTCGATCGTTCGCGCGTTTTTGTTCTATTAAACTACCGAAAGATTGATCACACAGTTGTATACATCACTCATTGAAAAGCAATTATAAATTTTGTTATAATTTTTATATGTTTGTTAAGTAAGTAGTGTGCGGACGTTTATGACTTTAATATCTTGATATATTTATTTCGCGACTCGAAAGAATTTTAAGTTTGTACAGATAAGACCACGATATTTCCATAAGAAAAAACCGTGAATAAGGTTATCATCAAGTGCTGTGTGCGTCTGTTTTTTTTTTTTATTTTTTTTTCTCAACAAGTTTTAAACATTATTAATATTTATTCAAAAAACATTTTTTAAATTAATAAATTAAAAATAACATCCATGAGTGTAGATAAAACAAAGTATCGTTTAGTAGAATTTACAGGCAGTAAGACAAAAGAAAAGAAAGAGATTGACATTGTCCCGAGTACGTGGATTTATCACGATGAAATGAGTGATGAATTAAAATGTAAATTTATGCCTGAAAATAAATATACCGAAAAAAATTTAAAAATTTTGCTTGAGATGGTTAAAAATTGTAAGGAGCCGCGTAAAAGCTGGTCATCGTATCCTGTGGAGATTCGTGGACGAGCACGTAAGTTAAATAATTTAATGAATGTTGAAATTAGGAAATTTTTTATTAATTAGTACCATAAAATTTGATAATTTTGCTTTTTACTAACGTAAAAGTTATTTCAATTTGCCAATCCACAATCTTATTCCATGAGCAATACATTTTTAATTAAGATACTGAATTTAACAGTCATCTAACAATTTTTAAGAGTTTTTTTGAGAAATTAAATTATAATGAAATAAATTTCCACATGTAAAAATTTTAAAATTATAAGTGTAAATCTTAAAATATATATATTTTGATAGCAATTGGTTAGATTCAAAAATTCCAAGAATTGTCAGATGCCTGCTTATTTCAGTAGCACATTTTGATAACTTTCAATTAATCAGTCATTCTATGATTTTTTATATTTTTATAAAAATTAAATTAGAACGAAAAAAATTCTACATGTAGAAATTGAAAAAAAATTTAAGTGCTAATTTTAGTATATATATATATATATATATATATATATATATATATATATATATAATATGTTCATGTACTCTTGCTTATGCGGACACTTTTACATATCCAGTATGGCTTTTGAAGGCTTTCCAGACTTATGCGGACAGTCCGCTATAACTCTAGGCATACAGTCTGGCTTTTGAAGACTGTCCGCGATCATCTGGTCCGCGAAAACCCATTCAACTCTGTCTGTTTTACACCCCACTTAATCTAATTTTTTTTCCTTTTCTAAATGTATTGATTATTATAAAGTTCTCCTTAAGAAATAAAACATACTTATGCGAGCTTAAACAGATACACGCAATGAGGATGAAACAATATCCATTTAAGTAACAAATCTCAGAATTAAGTTAAAAAATAAATGATTATGAATTAGGTTATTGACAAAACGAGCAATACGTAATTTTCATCTACAATAATGAGTTAAATTATGAAATGACGATATCAATCGATTGATTATAGTAATGTGCGGCTTATTATAAAATATATGCGTGGGGCCTGATAATAATACTTTGTTAAACATCTGCTGATCGGCTTTTACAGTTAGTATTATTTATTTGCAAACATATTCAAATGCAATGAGAATCTCCAACTAAGTAATTACTCCCACAGTTGAGTTATAAAAAAAAAAGTTGATCAAGAATGATATTGTTATCAAAAAAATAAAAAATAAAAAATTTTTATCCATAGTACTCATTCATATAATATCATGCCAATGACAGCTGATCGATTGTTATATTATGCTTATAATAAAACTTCCACGTGGGATGTTATAAATAATATTTTCTATAAATCAGCTGATTAGTATTTTTAGTAAGATTTTTTAGCTTGCAGGTAAATGAAACAGTGATACAAACATATAGCTAATTATCAACTCCCAGTGTTGAGTTATAGAAAAAAAATTGATCATAAATTTTTTTATCATCACAACAATCCATCAGAAATTTTTTCGGAAGTTATCAGCTATATTATTAAATAACAATGGCAGATAATTAATTATGGAAATTTTCAGCATATGATGAAACATAACCGTGGGATTCTATTCATAATACTTTTTTATAAATCAGCTGATCGGCTTTTCCAGTCAGTATTATCAGCTCATAGGTATATACAACTAGAATGAAAGAATTGAGTTAAGTAATAACTTCTAGAGTCTAGTTAAAGATAATAATTGATCACAAATTTTCTTATTTTCAAAACAAGCCATAAGAAATATCTATCAATAACACTCATCCACAGATTCGGCAGAATCTGGTGCCAAATTCCGTTCGAATCCGTTGTAAGCGGAGCGCCAGACTACCGAGTCCACAGATTCGGTCGAACTGGCGCCAAGTTCGGTTTAAATCCATTATAAAAGAAGCGCCAGACTACCGAATGTGTTTACTATAAGCAGAAGGTATAGGGACCAAGCCTCTAGACTATCACGACAACTGGTGATAGAAATTGTAAGCTGATGGGCAAAAATTTTAAATGTGATTTAATGTTAATTTATTTTTTATTAAAATAAAAAAATAAATTGTTTGAAATTTTTTTAACTTTAGAGTTTTAATATATCACGACATATATAAATATATCAAGTCGGAACCGTCAAATTGACAAACTTGTGAAATTTTATTATTTTTCGCTCAGTACTAGTGGTACTCCAGAGAAAAATGACAGACATACGACGTGTTTAGAGGTGGAATTTGACTTAATAATGTTAAATTTTTTTTAACACATTTAATATCTATGATCTAATTTTTTTTCCAACTTTCTGAATTATTTTTCCTTCCAATACGACCAATTAATACTGGTCAAAAAGCATATTTTATTATTTTTTCTATTATATAGTAAAAAAATACATAAGATATTTTAATACTTTTTGCCCATTTAATGCTTATGTTAAACACCAGGGCGCGCCACTTCAGACAGATGTGGTGCCTCTACAGTTAGCGCTTGGTCCCAATTTTGAGGTTGCAAAATTTGTTTTTATTCTACGGTATTTCTTGTTCCTATATTTTTGATTATAACAGTAATTTATACTTTATTCTACTGACATTAATTAACTATATACAATTACGACAATAAATCTACTTGAAATTAACAAATTTTATCAGCACAAACTATAGTAAGCTCACAAATTTCAATCCTGACTTTTTTTCGAGGGGAAACTCAGTGCCACAGACTAGATAAAATTCACAGCTTGCATCTACGGCCATAAAAGGGTTCACACACACATACATACCCACACACACACACACACACACACACACACACACACACACACACACACACACACACACACACACACTACCGCGGGGGTAGTCAGGGATGCTTCCTATGACCTTTAAACGTCGAGATCTGATGAAAACTCGATTTTTGCAAAACGGGGTGAAAGCAATAACTTCCCGATTTTTGATAGTCTGAGATTTTTAGCGGGAAGTTAAAAATATTGTGCAACTACGCACACTAAGTATACTCCAACATTGGTTTTTTTTTATTTTTGAATTTAAAATAAAATTTTTTTAACTATTGTAAATCATATACAATCATATCGGTTACTTAGAATTTTTGATATTTTTATTTTACATCTTTTTGTAGAGGAAAAAAATTTTGTTCTTATAATAGTCTTATGAACGTCGACTTGGCGCTATTTTTTACAGTGGAACTTTTTTGATCGGATCTATAGGGATTGAGAAAGATGACCTTGACGCCACCTGCCGAGAAAAATGTAAAACAAAGTTGTGGCAACTATTATAGAAAACAAAAACATATTTGTTAAATTAATTATTTTTTTAATTCAATCAAATTTAACGTCGTAGTCCGTCATAAAGTCACGGAACAATACGCGGAAGGGCTCTCGTATAATCCGGAAGGACGTCATGAACCTCGAGAACATCCGGTAAACGATACCACCGAAAACCATCCGCTAGCATTACCAATCTCTGTCTTACCAAAAACAAAAAAATCAGATAAAAAGCTCTCCGATGAAGAAACGATTCAATCAGTTAAACGCCCCTGTCGCCCTCTCGGGTCTAAAAATAGGCCAAGAGTCAGCAGCGCTCCAGAAGTAAGAGAGACGATTGCCTCTCGTCTCAGAAGAAGCGAATTAGGTAAAACGCGAGCCCCACCAAAAATAAATTATCGAGAAACTGGCAGACTCGAGATAAATTCAGAAGATCCCGGGACACAAGAAACTGCAAATGAAGAACAGGGGGACGACGAAGTTTTCCTACCAGTCTCCATCCCAGGACCATCCACGATTAATCCAACCCCGGATATAGGCCAAGAGGGGGACGATGAAGCAGAGAAAGATGATGAAACCGAAAAAGAAAAAGAAGCGACCGTCCTACCGAAACAACGACGTAAAACACAAGAACTAGTAAAAATGTTCGATGAACTACTTCAAAGGTGGCCTCCATCGGAAAATACCTACCGAGAGAGAGCTCTAGAAAAAATCCGTCGAGAAGAAGCAATATTCAACTATACTCCTGAAGAGTTAGTCCAGATGAAACGTACTAGTTCCGAGACCGCAAAAACAATTCGCGAGTCCTTATACAAACACCCAACTCTCTGGCGAAGCGAAGAAGACTCGTTAAATGATAATACAACACCCGAAATTAATGTCGACGAATTTCTGAGAGATAACAGCGACCAGTCCGAAGGAGGATCAAGCAGCAATATCAGCCCAGATAAAACCGAAGGAATCGAAGATTACAGCGAAACAGAGCCTCCTATCATCATAGAAGCAGAGCCTTCGACTTCAGTCAACAACGTAAATACGAGAAATAAAAATAATCTAACCCCTCAAAACGCGGATCGATCACGGTTCACAGGATATTTAGGAGACGGTCCAGAAACCCGACCTCCAATATTCGGAAGAGTTCTCATTCCTGATGAACTAGCAGCCATGGATATACGTTACGAGCACGCGAGCGGCCAAATCGTAGACGAAAACGGTAAAAGAATAAATGAAACGGCCGAGACCGAATCGACCGACCCCAATAACATCCTTATCGATTCGGAACGGGAACGATTGAACGAAAAATCGCCAAATATAACTAAATTAATAAATTCACAAAATAATAATCATAAAAATAAATCGCGCAATAGTTCAGAAAAATCTAGCGATCCAGATAAATCCAACGATAGGCCGACTACAAACGGGAATATTACAGTGGGGGATGATGTAGGGAACCACCGATTCGGTCCACCCTTCGTCGCGTACGATCCTCCAACATTCGAAGAGGCGGAGGATCTTTTCGCCGAAAGACATCATCGGCCAAAGATATCTTCACCCTCGAGTTCCGATGAAAATATACCGCCGAAAGGTCCCGAAATCAAAATTAAATTCTCAATCAGCCGAGACGGGCTGATCGTATGCCCGAGATCATTTAGTACATTTTTTAGCAGCCGATTGCGAAATAATAAAACGCGTAGCAAAGTTACTCCGAGACTTAAAATTTATAAATGCCGATGATCTTCACGCCTCGAAACCTTCTAAGGGAGATGTATTCGTCACCAAGTTAGGTCGTTGTAAAATTTTTACGGTATTTATCAAAACGAAACATTTTGAAAAATTAGATCCAATCGACTTAATCGAAGGATTGAAAAATCTTCGACAATCAATGCACAAACATCATATTCATTCGCTTCGTTGTGTGAAACAGGGGGACGAATTTGATGATCTAGACATCCAAGCATATTTATCACACGAACTAGCAGATTGTCCAATAACAATTACCTTGTGCGAAGGCAACGTCGAGGTACCAGAAGAATCCCTTCGAACAAAAATAATCGAAGAAAATCACAATAGCTTAATAGGAGGCCATAAAGGCGTAGTAAAGACGTATTGGCGTTTTCGCGAGAGATACTACTGGCCAGGAATGAAAGATACAATCTATAATTACATCCGTGCCTGCGAAATATGCCAGAAAAATAAACTGACGCGAATAAAAACGAAACAGCCTATGTCTATCACAGACACACCCTTTGAACCTTTCAAAAAAATTAGCATAGACACGGTAGGACCCCTACCCATGACCCCCGACGGAAATATACATATCTTAACTATACAAGATAATTTTTCTAAAGCAGCCGCGGCAGTTCCTCTTCCCGATATCAGAGCAGTCACTGTTGCAGATGCTTTATTGAATCACTATATCGCTCTTTACGGGTGCCCTCGCGTAATTCTATCAGACAAAGGCACTTCATTTACCAGTAAACTAATACAACTCGCTAGAGCATTAAAAATTCAAAGAATAACAACTTCCTCTTATTATCCTCAATCGAACGGATCCCTAGAAAGATCTCATCAGCCCTTAGTCGATTACCTCCGGGCTTATGTAGATAAATTTAGTAACTGGGATCGGTATATCCCAATGGCAATGTTAAATTATAATACAACCGTTCATACAGCCACAAAATTTAGACCATACGGAAGTTTTTACGGAAGAAAAGCTCGTAGCCCAACTCAATTCCCGGATTTCAGTAAAATAGAATCATATAACGATTATTTAGCAGATTTAATTAGTCAAATATCCGAAATTCAAAGACTATCCGCAGAAAATTTAACTAGAGCAAAACACGAATCAAAAGTACGATTCGACAAACATATTTATCTGGCAAAATTAAACGTAGGAGATCTCGTGTACACGCTGAAAAAACCGAGAAAAAACAAATTAGACCTTTATTATACCGGACCGTACAAAATAGCTGAAATAAACGAAATGGGAAATTTAATTATCGAAAAAGAAAACGGGAAACGAAAATTACTTCACCCGAATAAGGCTAAACCAGCCAGCCGCGAAAAAGTGGACTAAAAAAGAAACCAAATCGTCTGTTTCAGAAAATCAATCCAACATGAACATCGTATTACTTCTCTTCCTGGGGCTCGTACACCTGGCATGGGGCTCAGGGGAATTCCAAATAAAATCAATGGAAACAAATCCAGGCCTACTGTATGATCCGTTTAAGAAAATACATCTAATACGAGAAGAATCGCAAATAGATAGCTCCATCAACATCGAGAAGCTGGTAAATCTGTACCCATACTCAAATCAAAGTATATGGGAAGCTTACGGAATATGCGCAACAAAATTCAACTATTCCATCTGCTCGTCATACCTGAGAATTAATAGTCATCGAGAAATACAAGCTGAAATCGAACAAGCAAAACATCGGCTAAGACTACATCTTGAAGATCCAGAACTTGAAAAAGTCGACAAAACCAACCGCAAAAGGCGAGCTCCATGGTTTGGCTTCGTAGGAACAATCGCACGAGAATTATTTGGGACCATGGATTATAGTGATAAAGAACATATCACGAAGGAAATAGACAAATTATATCAAGATAACAGAGAACTAGTACACCTATTTCAAAATAATACACACATCATCAAAAGTGAAATAAATGAAATCTTGAAACACGAAACGAATTTAACAGAAAGAATCAGGAACCTGGTCCGAACTTCAGCATATCTCCAACAATCGGTAAATATACAACTATCCGACCTTGAAAGAAGCCAACTATTCTTAATGGCAGGAGACGAACACATTCATTTGATGACAAATCACCTAAGAACTCTCAACAACGCTGAAGAAGTAATAGAAGACGCAAAATGGGGCAAGCTTACTTATTTAACTGTGTCAGCTAAACAATTATACCAAGCGGCTGCTGACATGATGAAAAAACATCCTACGCTTAACCCACCTCAACCACTGGATCATATCATATGGATATCAACACACTAGCCAGAGTATCTACAATAGAAACAGGAAAAACAAACGGATATTTCCTAATAATAATAACAGTACCACTCTTCGATCAAACACCATGGCTAGCCTATGAGCTTAAATCACTCTCAAAGCCTGAAAAAATCGGAGATAGAATGTCGACATTAACAATCCAACCAACATCAAAATATCTCGTGTCAGAGCCGTCGTTTAATGAATATTACTTCGCTGAACAGGACTACATAAACAACTGCAAGCCCATCGGACCAGACATGGCATGCCCGCCTGACGTTCCGTCTAAGACAACCGAAAGGAAAAATGAAGTAGATTGTGAAATGAAATTGCTAATGGACCCGCAAACTGAAATCTTAAGAGAATGCAACATAAGAATAATCGAGAAATGTAAATTGACTTGGATAAAAATGAATGAGAAAAACACATGGGCATACTTAACGTGTAAAGAAGAAGATATCCCATGGATATGTCCAAGACAAACAACAGAAAGGAACGTAATTAATGGAACCGGATTGATACACGTTCAACAAGGATGTCAAGTAAGCTGCAATGGATTTATAATCCGAGAAATGGCGAGAGAATCAACCAAAATAAACCTCATCGCCCCAAGTTTTAACCTATCACTGGAAACATTAAACTCGAGCTTAAAAATTAACAACGAAGCTACGAACTCATTCACAAAAATTCAAGACCCAGCTACGATAATCGACGAATTTGAACCTTGGGGTCAAGGCCTTGAAGAGAACGAAGAAAAAGTGTCACTAATAGCCCTGGACTACCAAAAAGAAGAATCCAACCGAAAAATAACTATTGGGTCAGTATCAGCGATTGGAATAATATCACTTATAATAGGAGGGATAGCTACACAGAAAACTATCAGCCGATTTCTATCCAGACGTCGCCAGTACAACAAGCGAGATGAAAAAGCAGTAGTATTCCAGCTAGAAACAATCGAAAAAGAGAAAGCAACTCCGTCAGAAGTAAGCGAATCAACCTCAGAAAAATCCGATAATAACGATGAAGAAAGCTCTACCACCAAGCAAGCAGCTACCGAAGATCCCCCAAAAATCGTCGAGACACCAAAGAAGTCAAAAACATTCCGATTAAAAGACTACAAATCACCATTTTAGAAAATCAATTTTGTTTCAACATCGTAAAAGTTAAGATCATTTATAAATTTTTTTTACAAACTGATGGCTCCTTTGCGGAAAAATAACAAAATAATTTAAATAATAATAAATTTCTGTTCCTTCTTTTTCTTTCCTCTTGAAAAATATTAAGAAATTTCCCATTATCAAAAATTGCCAAAAACGAGCCAACAGCTTGTACAAACACTTTAATTCAAGAATTTCAAATAAAAATTTTTTTTTCTTAAATATTTTCATATATAGTATAATGAAAAATCAGTAGATTCACCTTAATTCTGAAAAAAATTTTGTCACCTTCGGACTCACAAGACCGAAGATAAAATTATCCGCGGCCTTGAGGGGACAAGTGGGTATAGCGCGAAACCTCAATAAAAATTTTTTTTCTTATTTCTCTCTTAAAATATAAAATTACAAATTCTTAAGACTTTTCTCCTCATTATACTGTCAATATATTTATATATTAAATTATATATATTATTATATTATATTTTATTATCATATTATCATATTATTATTATTACTTTTATATTTATTATTACTATTACTATATTTTGTTATAATCCTTATATTTTATCACATATACCTATAACTACAAATTATAAATGATTGTATTATAAAATTTTTTTCTATATACATATACAATTATAATAATTATATTACAATTATTAAATAATATTGAAAAATGTATACAGTCAAGCTAACATCACCATACAAAATTTTCTTTCTCTTCGAACTATAAAATCTTTTTATTATTTTAAACACCAATATTTAATAAGTACGAATAAAGTAAGTAAAAGGACAAGGAGAGTCATCTGGCGATAATTATAACGGAACTACTAAGTCAAGCGAGATAGCTTACCGACATCAGCTCATTCGCAACTACCTCTCGACTAGCCACGCCCACAGCTGTACCACTTCTCTCACCCAACTCACACACACTTACGCACACTCACTAACTCTCCTCGCTACCGAAATACATAAATTTTTTTGTCGTTTCCTTCTTCTTTTTTTCCCCTCTCCCTCTCCCTCTCTCTACGTTTAAACTAAATAATCAAATTTTAACTTACCTTTTCCCGTTCCTTATAAAATTCCTCTTTGTCTATTCCTAAATAAAACTATGAACTAAACAGGAGAAAGGATATAGGAACTATAAAAAAAAGGGGGGGGGGCCAAAAGAAAAGAAATCTTTTTTTCCTTTTATTTCAAACTTCTATATTTAATAAAATTTTTTCCTCAACTAAACAAAAGTTGCACGACGGAAATATCCAATTTAATTCGAGTCAGCATCTAATCGACAGCTAACCAATGTCATATGATACACCTTCTGAAAAGAAAAAAAAATTTTTTTTTTTCAAATATTTCCTTTTATACAGGGTGTACCAGAAGTCACGCACTTCCTTGTAGGGATCGAAAGAGGAAATTATTCTGAGACGAAAAGTCCTCAGCCATTTTTTAATCAGACGCATAGATAATTAATTATTAATTAATGAAAGTGACCAATCAGAAGCGCGCTAGAGAAGAATATAAATTGAGTGAGAAGGCAGTGGGTAATGCGAGAGTGAGACGCTAGAGATGCTGCCGGCTTCGCACGCAGTAGACCGAGAGTGGGGACGGACCGACCGTAGACGGCGGACGTACGTGATGCTAGATTAATGTGTGAGACTGTACACTAGTGTACGCAAGCGTTAGTGTGTCAGTAACAATGCGCGTATGAATGTAAGTATTGAGGATCCGATGTATTTGATTATTCATAGGATTTTTACCAGAAGATTTAATTGGACACTTCCGGCCAAATTTTGAATTTTCATCGGAAGCGCCCAAACTAAGCTTCTGTTAAAAAATTCTATGAAAATCAAATACATTGTTTTCCCCCAAAATATCTCAGGAAATGCCCAAACACAGCCCCTGTTAAAAGCGGAACTCAAAATTCCAATTTTAAAAGGTCCTCCACGAGAGTTACATTTTGGTACACTCTAGTGCAGATGTTTTGACAGATAGGTAAGATTGTATGTGATGTTGGTAGGTAATGTTGTAAGTGAGTAAAATTGTAAGAGTAATTTTAAAAGTATTTTGGAAATGCGTGGGAACTTGAAGTTTAAGTTATTTTTGCGCAGTCTACAGGTATGACTGAGTGAGGTGAGAGGCCCAAGTAGTAGATAGAGTAATTAAGAAAAAAGGATTAAGAAGACAGTCCTGAAGAACTATTCCTTGTAGATAGACCTCTGTAATTTTTCCTAATAAACATTACACTTAAAATATCTGACCTGTGATGAAATTTGTAGATATTAACAATATCAACATCTTATCCAGTATTTGTGATACTGCATACATTTCATTATAGCTACCAAAAATGAAATATTCACGTACCTTAGCAGAATTTACCAATTTTTGATTAGTCACAGTTAACAAAAAAAAACAAATCTAACGATTAAAACTTGAGAACAGTTACAGAGGTTATTACAATCTTCACTTGAACTTCTGTTTGTCAACTGTAGCGATTCATTCGTATATAGAAAGCTCTGCAGTCTACCCCCATAACACTGATTATTGAAAACGATCGATTGAGTCCGTAAATAGTCGATCACACTATCAACCTTGCCACTAAAATCCTTAATTTGCTCTACTGAAATTTTTTGAATAATTAATCATTTCTTTTCGAATTAACAATTTTTGAAAGTAGGGTCATTCTATGTCAAATCGACCAATAGTTGGAATCGACCCCTTTCGATTTGGACGAATTTTGGTCAGAAGTTTTCTTTTATCATATAACGAAGTTCTGCCAAAGGAAAAAAAATAAAAAAATTTTTTTCAAAAGATATGCAAACTCAAAATTTCGCGATTTTTCCAGTTTTTCAATTTTGTTTTTGTAATATCTCGAACGCTAGTATAGATACAGGAATGATCTTTCATTTGTTTGAAAGGGGAAACTTGGAGCTATTGAAAAAAAAATATTTTGGGAAAAAATTTTGAAAAATGCCAAATTTGTCAAATTTTGAATTTTTGAAAATCGTAAAAAATGACGGTCGACAATAAATTTTTTGCTCAAATTTTTTTATATACTACCTTGTACCAATCTTAAGAAATCCTGAAATTTTTGGAACTGTGTTTTTTGTTTTCTCAAAAATATGAATTTTTGAAATTTCTTAAAAAAAAAAATTTTTCTCCAAAATTTTTTTTTTATTTTTATCTCAATTGAGTTTGGTAAATCGCGTAATTTCGATATTCTGAACAATTAAAATGTCATTTAGTGGCATAACGATGAGAAAAAAAATACTAGCGTTCGAGATATTACAAAAACAAAATTGAAAAACTGGAAAAATCGCGAAATTTTGAGTTTGCATATCTTTTGAAAAAAATTTTTTTATTTTTTTTCCTTTGGCAGAACTTCGTTATATGATACAAGAAAACTTCTGACCAAAATTCGTCCAAATCGAAAGGGGTCGATTCCAACTATTGGTCGATTTGACATGGAATGACCCAGTAATTAGTAATTTTTTTTCTAGTTACTATTTTTTTTTAATCATTAGAAATTTATTTTTTCTAATTACTGATTTCTTAAATTAATTAATATTTTTTTTCTTGATTTCTAATTTTTCTGAAAAATTAAATAATATAAATAAAAATTTTTATTTTGCCACAATTGCAAATTCTAAATTTCTCAAGTGAAAAAAATAAAGGAAATAACACAAAATATTGAAAGAGAAGTTTTCAAATCAGCCAGATGGTCATAGTACTCAGGTGGTCTGACTAAAAAGATTTGCAAGTATCCAATGTAACTGTAAGTAAGCCGGTTTTAAAAAATAGCTATTAATGCAAAGAGGTATTGGATTTTTTTTTGTATTGGTTACTTTTACA